TATTTTAGCATTGGATTTGTTGATAGCTGCGTGAATATGCGGTTTCCAGGAAAGTTTCTTGTCTAACACAGTGCGCAAATGGAAAGATGCCCGGCGTTTGGGAGCTGGACTCGGCCACACGTCCAATGACTGGTAAGGTCACAGTGAGTGATCCGTGAAAAAAATACCGTGAGTGACTAACTGAAATTTTACAGAAACTATAAAACGTGCCATACAGGTGACAAAAGAGTGACAATGTTTAGCACTTGTTTACGGCCAATTATGGCGTAGAGAACGAATTTTTACGACTGATAGTTTACAGGGAACGTCTCGTTTCTTCTTCGATGTCGTTCGCAAGAGGGACGTAGCTTTTATTTTTTGGATTTTGTTAATCTTTTTTTTGAAAGAATGGAGACATTAAATTTATTTCTTCACTAATTTTTTTATAAAAAAGCGGCAAATTTGGTGTTCAGTTTTGTGTATATACTTGCATTATTATTATCGTATGTAGAGATGTGATCCTGATAACTTCCATTGGGAGTTAGCATGACCACCTATTGTTTTGAGAAAATGACCCGCGGCAAATTTATTTCGCATCTTAGGAACGCACAATTATCGACTATACAGTTTTGTGATTGGATGAAATGGTCCTACTAACTTCCAAGACGTCATGCTGTGATCACATAGTTCGTGACGCAAACTGGTGCTGCACAGAACGAGCAAAAGTCGGTGCGACAGACTAGCTCACTCTTATATTTCCACCATGGTAATATGCAACAATTAGAGTGTGGAAGTACAGTCAGTGTGTATAGTTAACGCGTGTACCCGAAACCCAGAGGCTCTAAAAGTTTGCAACAGCGTCGTTCAAATTGATCTTCTGGACGTAGTTCGTTTGATGGTTGCAGAATTACAAAACTTTCTCGAAACTTCATATACCAGGAGGTCATAATATATCGTTAGAAGCTACTGCAAGGGAATGGACGAAGAAATTATGTTGATGCTACTCCTAACATTTTACTATGCTCAAACTAATATAATTTTAAAAATCCCAGGGAGTTCATTCCTTCAGGAAGTAACAGGATTGCAGTGACAGTTGCCTTCTTCATATCATTTAATTATTATACGCTCAATAAATTTATATTTCTAAAACCCCTTATAACATATGCACTTCTGAATACGTGTTAATACATTTTATATTTTGCAAAGTAGGAAGTTGATTGTTACTGAACTTCCATTAAACACAATATATTAAAAATGTTATTAAATACATACATTGCTTCCCATGTGTTTTCAATACATTTTATATTTTGTAATGCAGAAGGTTAATAGTTGTTGGACTCCCATTATCCAATCAGAGGCGGTGTTTGAGGGTTGAAAAGACAAGGAATCATGTGTCAGACCGCCTAGAGCCGTAGTGGTTCTTGCTCCAAAAGCTGCTGCCATAGCGTCAAGCAAGGAAGCGAAAGTGACAAGCTTAATTGAAACATTGTCATGGAAAATAATCATCGGCACATCACGTATTCAAATGATTGTCTTGCATTACAAAAGCGTTCACCAGTGATTCAGCATTTGCCGCATATTTGCAAATTATGCACGTCTCCCTTGACAACTGACTTTACACCTTTTTGAAAACAACCAGAGGTCCATTCACCATCACAACCACAGACCATGTGGTGCAGCACGGAAGAGATGCTGGTCAGAAGTAAGTAGGAGACAATGCATTATGGGTAGACGATGTTTAGCTAGCGTCACATTATTTAGCCATAGCAGTCGCTAAGGCTAGTTTTAAGTACAGTTGCCGTGATCGCCTTTAAAAACATTACACAGTTTGAGCTTGTTACGCAAATCAGTGTATGCAGATTAAGATAATTTGTACACTTAATAGACAGGCTGACAGATGTGTCAGACAATCCTTCCAATCAGGTGCTACATCTTTAATGTAGGGCCTAACTCATATGGCAATATATCATTAAATGTGATTTTCTTCCGCGTGATAATTTAAAAGGTTAACTTTGACCCAATTTCAGCTTCATCCTAGACATTTGTAACATTTATTCTGAAATTCTTTGTATACTCTTGGTAAATTATAGAAATGCTTATCAGGTTGATCGAATTAAGCGTCTGTCTGGAGGAGAATTCTAGCGACCGGCTGCTCTGATCGGTTGTTTTATGTAATTTCGCCGATCACTACTGGGCGAATGCTGGAGCAGTACCTTAACAAACGGGCAACGGACCGGGCGCGATCTTACCTTTTTCTTCCTTGTCTTGTCCTTGTTCCTCTTCCTTGTTCTGTCCTCGCTCCTTACACACACACACACACACGCACTACACTACCACATATGCCGTGAGACCGGTTGGTAGCTTAGAGCTTGTCTCGACTGGGGTGGTGCCTCGCTGGTGAGAGATACCTGGTTGAGGAAAAAAACCCTAGCTGACGGAAGGCGGGATTCGAATCTCGGCATCCAGGCGGCAAAAGCCCACCTCCACCTTCCCAGCACAAAACATTCACTACAATTACAGGACAAATGACCCCGGTGTTTGACGTGACAG